AGGTCCCATATGGGTGGAATCGCAGTGTCACTACAGTACCATCTTACAAAAGTCGTTCCGCTGGTACGATTTCCCGTCCATCTATCCGAAAGATCGATCCTGCCCTGTCGCAAAGGGGGGGGGGAGGGGAGGAGTTGGTAGAGGAGCGTGAGACGCTGAGCAATAATAGAAAAAATTCTTCCGGAGCCAAATACGGTCACCCAGATGGAGGGTCAGAAGAATTGATTGTTGAAACTTGAAAGGGGCTATCGTGTGCCCCGTGACGAGTTGAAGAAGTTGGAAGATGGACGATTCTATCATGAGCTAATGAATCGCACCGCTCACGTACGCGCGGCAACGTCAGAATTGCTTTACCGTATCCACACCTGTTGTCGTGGGAGCAAGGGATTTGCACTCTCTCCTCATACTCCAGAGTAGCAATGGGATGGATGGTGAACGAGCCATGACACAGCACGTACGCGAAGCAGCGGCGCTATTCGGCGACGGGGGGGGGCATTTTGTATGGGTCACCACGTCGATGGGAAGTAGCAAAAGTGCGAAATGCATTGCTCCCCCCTCCGTCTGTAGCCGAACTGCGCCAGCTGCGGCATTGCAGACCACGACGGTAACGATTTGTGCACACAATTGTGCACAGCCAAGCCGGTTGATCCTCCTTATGCGTGTGCAGTGACTATTCCCCCGACTCTTACAAGTGAGCCCCTGGAAGGCAGTAATTCAAAATATTGTTCATCACACTCCCTGCGTTGATTAGAATTTGCTGTGCAGGAAAGTGTGAGTTTTAACAGCCCTTTGTGTAGTGTTTGGTTCTGGGACCACCCACTGCTCATCCTCGCTTATTTTTCACTCCTTTGACTCATCTCTAGGCTTTTTTAGGGTTTTTGTCCACGACACTGCCCGGTTACATGCCCGCCCCGCCCCGCCCATTGTGGGCGAAGCCTAGCATGGCTTACGCCTGCTCTGCTAATTGTGGCTGTGTCCCAAGGAACTTACCCGCTGTGTAGAGTGATTTCCACGCTATTTCCACTTTCCTAGTGGCCAGGCAAACATACAAATACCCAGAATATTTCTGGGTCTATATGTAGAGAGATAATGAGAGTCATGCATGTTCCCCAGGCGAAGATCTTTTCCAGCAAAGGTCGCAGACAAATAATGAAGAACCCGATAAGGCGAAGTGATTCGGTGGTTACATCGTCCTACCTGATTTTCCTTCGCCTTGAACAGCACTTCAATGAAGCGCACAGTTGAAGCCCAGGGCATATCTCTGCTGTGTAGGGGGGGGGGATCAAGCAATATACGCCCTGTGCCCCCTCGCCATCCCACGTGCAGTCTTGTTCGCTGCGCGTGATGGGGGGCGTGTCGAGAGGTGGGTTTGGAGCGGTGCCACTCCCTTTTTTCTTCCATTGACCGCCCATTCCATTGAGCGAAAGAAACTGATAATATCTTTTGTATCAGTTGTTTTCCGCAAACAGTCGTTGCTTATCCGCTTCAAGAGCTTGAAGGAATGGTGCAGAATGTGCTGCGGCGCGCCAAATCGCATGCCGGCTCGTAAGTGCTCGGCAATCAATATCGTAAGCGTTGAAGACTGGGTGGCAATCTTCCTAACATCAAGCTTGTACCAAGTTTTTCCGTAACAAAAGGAACTAGACAGTGTACGCATTTTGCGGTGTGAGACTGGGAATATTTAACTGTCAGTGAATGCGGGAAAGCAGGAAAGTCCAACAAACAAAATCAAGGAACAAGTCTTACTCTAAAAGTAAATACGACCAGCCTCCTTACGGGCTCCCCCAATGTACGATGTGGCTCTCCATGTACGACGTGGCCTGGTTGTAGTGCAGCAGTAAAAGCCTTGCAGCTCTCGCGCCCCAACCAAACAATAAACGCTACTACAAAGCAGTAAGCCTTTTTCGATTGAGGGAGAAGGCGCTCGGCAGCACCATTCCCAAATACTCCCTTTGGTGAGGGCATTTCACTGAAGAGCGGAAGTCTGCTCAGTGTTGGCAGTACGACTGGTCACTTCTGTATCTGCGCTCATACTCTGCGCAGCGTCCACCAGCGTTTCGGGCTTCCGTCAGCGACAGCGACAAGATGAGTATATCAGCGTGCTTTCCCAACTTTCATTCTCCCTAGCTCCCGGCGGACTTCATCCTCCGTCCAGGGAGTGATGGGACCTGCCGTCGCCTCTATCTGTGGGCTATCCTTGCGAGGGAATTCTTCGTTCAGAAGTCCCTCGAAGTATTCTTCCCACCTCTTCCTGACTTCGGCTGGTTTCCTGAGAATGGCCCCGTTGCTGCTCTTCACAGTCTTTACGACCCTGATGTCCTGAGCTGCGCGATGCCGAGCTTTAGCCAGGCGGAAGACGAACTTGTCCCCTTCTCGGCCTTCCAGCTTGTCGTACAGGGCGTCCATTTCCGTATTCTTGGCCTTAGCAACGGCTGCCTTGGCGAGTCGCTTGCAGCTCTTGTAGGCAGCTAAGTCTTCTGGGCTCCTTGTCTTTTGCCAGCGTTTATATGCTTCCTTCTTCTGCTTGACGATCCCCTGGACTTCCTCGTTCCAGAACCAGGCTGCCTTGTCTCCTCTGATACCACCTCGCGTCTCTCCCAGGACTTCCTTTGCACACTGTAGGATGACCTCTGCTGCGTAGGTCCAGGTGTCCTGGACTGGCCCATGTGGGTCTGGGAGCCCAGCCTCCAGTATTCTTCGGCCGAGGCTATCCTTTTCTACCTTGCGCATTTTCCACCACCGAATTCTCCGCTCTGCTCTCACCCTCGTCTTCTTGGGGAGGTCTATGGCGATGTCTGCCAGGAGAGGCCTGTGCTGAGGGCCCAGCTCTTCCCCAGGCAGTACCTTGATATCCTTGACGGTTTTGAGAGACGATCTTCTGACCAGGACTTCTTTTCTGCCGAGGTCTAGAAATTTGATGGACTGAAGGAATTTTTGAGACTGAAACAATCACTGAGAATGCTTTGTTAATGTTGTTTAATTCAGAAAGATTGACGACTTTTTTTGTACATTAGCAGAACATATTATACAACATGAACTCCGAACTCACATACTGAGCAATGACACCTGAACCGGTGCCCATAAGGGTCAGGGGGCACCCGCTACTTTACAGCGGGTAGGTACCACGATGGAGTTCTTCGATGTCGTGCTCGCGAAGACGTTCGTAGCTTTGTAATTTGGCATTGTAGATGTAGACCTTGTTGTTCGGCGAGTTCAATTTGTAGCCAAGCCGTTGGAGGTTCACCTTCACCAGTTTGAAGGTACCTGAATTGAATCGGGAGGTAAAACTGATGTTTGCAGTGGTCCTGGGAGTAAAACGAAATACTCCTGAAGATCTCACCCAGAAGAAAGAGATCTCGTGGGCGTTTGTTCGGGTTTGTTTGGTTATTCAGATAGATGGTACACCTACAGCCAGGCCCCGCGATCAGCTAAGAAGTCCCTTTCCTTCCAGGGCTCGCCTGGTTTGCAGTGCATGACAGGGTCTGCACCACTTTCGCAGTGCAAAACCTTAGTAACAAGGCTGAACAGTGGCCTTTTTTACCTTGTTTCCTCACCCACGGCTCAGCCCACCCACAATAACAAGAGACCTGCCAGGGGAAGTGGATGGGGATTTTGGTCAAGTCCGTACACCCTCCCCTCCTCCTTTTTTGAGCCGTTCGTACGACTCTCCCCTCCCCACGACCCCCTTCTACATATGAATTAGGAAGTTCAACAAAAATCAACAACCTCCAACAACCTTCCTCAGAAGGCTCATCTCCCAACAACGAACAACTACGACCCCCCCCCCCTAGTGGGGAACCCCAGCAACACCCTGCATTACTGTGTCAATGGGAAATCGGCGGGATCAATCGCAGCGAGCACATCCACCAATACAGCACCGTACTGCGATCTCCTCCGAGTCACTCTTCGGCCGTTTCTGTTTTCTTGTTTTTTTTCTGCTTTTCGTCTCATCGGGCTTGGCGGGTTCTCTTGTTTTCTATGCTTTTTTGTTCTGCTTTTTTAATCTCATCTATAGAAGTTCACTAGCCACCTGATTCCAATCACCATTACCACAATTTGTTGATGGCGCATTTGCGTTAGCTGGCTCTGTCTTATAAAAAACTGTAGATTCTTCTCGAGAGACGGCCCTAAGAGGGCCGTTTCTCGAGGAGAATCTACTTTTTGAGTGGGATGAATGGGTCTGCCACACGTGTCATTTTCTCCGTTCAAAAGTGGAGGTGGCGAGTGGGGGGGGGGGGGGAGGGAGGGGTTACTTCGATGGAATCTCCCGTTCCATCCCACGCTACCTTCAAGGTGCAGCACTGGCGTCAATATCGAATTTCCTCAACGGAGACACAGTGAGCGGTAGAAGACAACCAGGGGTGGGATGACGCGGTCAAGTAGTGCGTTTAGCTATGGATAGGCGTGTAGATGTCCGTGAGAGAGCCAGCGCGGGTGGAGGTCCCAGGGCACGCGTAAAGGCAAGGATATGACAATTCTCTCACTCGAAAGAACGTGGCAAAGGCTCAAAGGGTTTGCGAAGACTAACAACCTCGTCCATACCATGCACGAATGCTCAAGAACTTGCTACTGCTGTAGAGGATTCTCTCGGCTTTTGTAGGGCTGACTGTGTAGCTTTCGCACGTACCTGTCTGGCCTTTTCTTGAGCGTCCCTGCGTATCTGTTACCTGCACGCTTTCCTAGCATTTCAGCGGTTTCTTCTTTTCGTTTCTGTCCACGTAAGTCAGTCATCACCTACAACTCCCACTTGGGCCTTTCAAAAAAAGATTTGTATCCGTAGCTTCTCGTACCCTTTGTTGTCAATTTACTAGCAGTGTGGGGATGTCTTATATGTACAGTTCTTGAGAGTTATGAGTGTTTGCAGCCGCGTCAGCCTGTTCTCCTTCGACTGTCATCGCCTGCCAGCTTCAAAACTTGACGGAGAACAGACACGCTGAACCAAGCCTCCTCATCATTGACCCCAGCATCCGCTGCAAAATAAGGCTATCATTTGAGCCTTAAAGCCACTCTATTGAGGCCGCATGCCCACTGGAGTGAGCCGATACCCAAATCTGCCCCGTTGGAGAGCTGATATTCAAAAATGGTACCGTGAGCTATGGAGTGTTTTTTGAGGCACATTTGAGAATTACCTGTTTTTTCGATATCTGGACATAATCCGAATGAACTGGTGATAGAGCATAAGAGGCTAGACTTTCTGAATCGACTGCCAATTCTTTCAATAAACTCCTCATCAGTGGCATTGTCTTCATGATTTCGAACCAGAGCTGCCATTCCTGCCCGACCTTCTCGTCCTGAACTTTTGAACTCTTAATAGACGAGAGCTACTTAGACCCAATAGTCAGTCTATTGCGTTCTCTGTTATGGCTCACCAGGTACGGTCACTCCATAGACAGTCGCATCAGCCACTCCTTTCTGTGGATGCAGTATAGCCTCGACTTCAGTAGTGCTGACAATCTCGCCTTTCATCGGAATGTGTCACCAGTACGATCTTTGAAGTGCAGATAGCCCAGCCGATCCCAGTAGAACAGATCTCCTTCAATTAAGAGAATATATTGGGTTGAAACCAGGGCACATCATTGGTTGGGGATTTTGATCGAGTCTGTACACCCCCGCCTTTTTTCTGGAGGAGGGGGGGGGGTGGTACGACCCCTCCCCTCTCCGGTCCTCTGTTCCTCCTAGCCAAAAAAGCCGCAAGAAAAACGCGACCCCTTCCCTTCTACCATTTCTCAGATTTTCCCCAACTTCCTGCCACTTTTCCAAAATTTCCCGAAAACTTCCCTACTTTTTCCCAAAAATTTTGCTGTCGAGCGAGGGGGGAGGGGGTATATACAGTCCTCATCATTGCGGACCGGTGGGGCGTGTCAGCCAGTATGAGTGTGCACACTGTTGAAGCCGTTCTCAGCCTTTTTGTTGAAACGCGTATGCGAGAAAACGAGTAATACGAAGGATATAATACAGTAATGTCACTTGCCCGCTTCAACAACTGGTGCAGAACGACTTTGGCACCGCGCCAAACGCAGCCGCACTGACACGCCCCACCGGTCCGCAATGATGAGGACTGTAGTACACATGAAACAAGCAAAATTACGGAAAGTCAACCACTCCCAGAAGGCCAAAAAGTAGGAGCAAATACGACCCCCCCTCCCCCTTCTACAACCTCCGTGAAACAAGAACAATTAATCATCAAAACAGATTCTCAGCCCAGATACGAATTGCCCTCTCCCGGCGACCAAATACGACCCCCCCCCACCTGCTGGGGATTCCCCAACAACGATGTGCCCTAGCTGAAGCATATTGTTGGACTTGCAAAACTATGCACAAACCTGATACAAAACAACTGTCGCCTTTCCTAAGCACATAGCGTATGATTTTCTTATTCGTCTCAGATTTATTCAGATAACCATCAAATTGTAGCAAAGCGTTGTTCTTTGTAATTGTAGATACCATAGCTCCGCTCTCACCTACAAATGGGGGAAACTAATAGTAATAACGGAAGGAAGGCAAATATATAAAAAAAAACAGAAGAATAAAACGATCGAAATCGATCGTTCCTTTCCGGATGGTCTGGTGTCAAATAGCACCGATACACCTACGCAATGCAGTCTTGTTCGCTGCGCAGAAGAGCGGGCTGGAGCTGCGCCAAACCCGGATCCCTAACAAGCCCCTCCCCCATAACGACCGACAATAAATGCCGTTCGTTCCATTTGATGAATTTTTCTGTGCACACGAGCTTGGTAAGGGACGAGAACAGGGACGAGGGGTGTGACGAGAACATTATTGGAAGGTGACAAGGAGTGATATCAGCTGATAAGATCTGAAAAGAGGCGTCAGAATGGAGGGTCACCGAATCCACAGCACGGGTCACAGCAATAGTGGGACGTTAGATCCAAGGATAGGGGAGAGGAGCATCATTGGTTTTGTGACAGGGGGTGATATCAACTGATAAGATTCGATAAGGGGAGTTAGAATGGGAAGGTCACCATACTCATAAAGCGAAACACAGCATCAGCTAGGCATTTATTGGAGCAAGTGATATAGAGGGATGGTGGGGACGTGGACGGTAGGTGCAGACAGGGTACAGCATCGTTGTGCGAAACCCATAGGGGGGGTCGTACTTGGCCGCTGGGGAGGGGGGGGTCGTAATCTCAAGGGTCACTCAGAGCCGGGCAATGCTTCGACATTTCAGTTGATAGTGGGAGTGGAGCTATGGAAGTCAAGATGTTAAAAAAATGAACAGTCCCTAGATTTTTGCAGGAAATATTCTGGCAGAAATTTTTTTGATTTGTGCACAAACTCATTTCAAAGGCAAGTGGCACTGTATGAAGGACCCCGTAAACGTGTGGGAGTAATACGCCTATAGGACAGAACTCGGACCACTCAGCAGGTGCTCCGTGGCGCCTTTCACAAGCAAGAGCGCCCTTATAAGGTACACGCAAGATGCAGCATGCCGACCCACAAGGACGCCCACAGCAACCGCCGGCCCACAATTAACCAAGCATTCACATCGACGCTTGTACTATTATCGCTTCTCAAATGAAATACAGTCGATATACAGTTTCTACATGGATATATGGAATATTCATGCAGCCGTATCTATCAGAGCGGTTGTTGGCACGATGCTGACCGGAAACTCGTCCAAGAGTGCTCGTCCAATTCCGCGCAGAACAAGGGTTCATCGCCTGTTTGTGGTCGCTCAACTTACTTTTTTCCACCTCTGCTACTATTTTTGGGCAAGTACCTAGTTATCGCGCCATATGCCTTCAATATTTTCTCGACATAATATTTTTCTGTAGAACGCTTCAAAAAGTTCTTTCACCTGGATTGCAAGCCACACAGAGCCCGGACTCTGATCGTACCACTTCACCGGTTTTGTCGTCTACCCGGATTAATCGTACTGGATAAAACATCTTTGTGAAAAGGATATATTGGAAGGAATCCGCATGCACCAACATAGCCATCAATATTCACTGAAATTGTAAAAGCAAAACAGAGAATAAGCGATGTGGGCCGGGTATTGGAAGAGATACCAAGATTCGAAGTGCCCTTCCGTAGCACCATAGACTTCGCCAATTTTCACTCGGAATCGGTCCACAAATTGTTGCCATATTTCCGCACGAAGACCGTTCCCATAGAGAGACGCATTTGATGTGTAGCCTCTTCGGGAACAACTGGCTGGGCTAGTAGATAACGGCAGAGTTCGCCGATATATTGTGAGGCCTGAAAATGCAAAACAACGGTCAACACGGTGAGTACCATATTTACTTTATTTCTTTGAGCACTTACTGTACAGTGATATTTTACACAGTCCTTCCAAAAGTTACTGGCCGAAAATCGCTTCCGAATCACACAAGACGAGCCGCGACAGATTGCCTGCCCCACTCCTGGAAAGCCGACATCTTTTTGAAATCTCCACTTAATGCAGTCTTGTCCGCTGCGGATGCTGGGGTGTGTAAGGGGGGGGGGACTGCCTTAAGAGCGGCGTCAACCCCATTTCAGCTATTGTTTTCGCTAGTCACTTTCAACAACTGCTGAGGCTAGCCCTCCTGGCAGGTCACAGCATCTGCAGTGAATAAGATTGCGAAACGAAAGCGAAACGCATGTGATTGCAAAACGCGACTCTTATATTCTATGTGGAAGCTCGCGCCCGCGGTACTATCGGGATGGGAGAAGTTGTAGTGTCGAACAACCCCCTCCCCCTGAACTACTTTTCCCTATTCGATCCAACCCCCTCATCTTTCTCAATTCTTCCCATCTTCCTACTTTATGCTCCAGCTTTTGGAGCATTTTCGCACTTTTTTCCTTGCGGAAGTGGCTCGAGTGAGGGGAGGAGGCGGAGAAAGAGGTCATCATCACGGCATTGTGGGCGAGAGTTTCTGTCTTGGGAAGCGGCTATCGCGATATGCGACTCCCCCCTCCTGCCGTTCCCCAACTTCCACTGTACGCCCCTACTGCAGGGATTTTCCCTAACTATGTTTAGCCATGTCGCCTGCCCTTCCACACATTCAAGCGAGCGGTTCTCTTCCCAATTATTGCAAGCCCTTGTTGGGCATGCCGTTCATCGCCGCATGCAAATGGCTCTGATGAGGCAAAGCACAGTGCTGACGGTGCAGAAATTACTATACAGTCATATTACTTCGAGGCAGGGCTTTGTACCATCGCGCATTGTGGGTATTCTTGGTTGGAAGGGAAAGAGGGGGGAGGGGTGCGAACCGTGTTGAATTTGACGGCATCTCAACCTGATTGTGAGAAGGGAGCGGCCCTCTTATCTCACTACCCTACCCGCGTACCCTCTTATCTCAAGTTAGGGAAAACTCTACACTCACTTCCGTGGTGTCTGGCCCTTGCCACACGCTGAGCGTGATGTACGTTCACAGCTGCAGCAGCGCCCGCCACAGTACTCCGCCTCAAAAGTGCTGGAAACAAGCGCTGAAAAAAGTAACATGATACGGTCTCGATACTCACCACGCGCTGCCGCACGGCCAGCTACACGCCTAATCATAGCCGAGGCCTCTGCTTGTCTGCACCCTCTCAGTTCTCTTCTCTTCCGCTAGGTGCGTGTTCCGTTGCAGGATTTTAGCATCAACGCAAGTGCTGCAGCTCCACGATAGCGCGGCGGAGATTCGGCACCTGGATATCATTGCCCTCTAGCCCCGTTTCCGTACCCTTTTGACCGAGGAAATTGGCACAACACTGCAGTTACGGGCCCGGTGACCTCGCACATGGCAGGGACCGTCCTCGTAAGTTAACGAGCCGTCCTCGTAAGTGAACAAACGTTTGTCTCCAAAGGCTGGGAAGACTTCTCCATAATAAGAAATAGCAACTTCGCAGCTTCCCTGATCGAGGGAGTAGATAGCCCGAAACGGGGAAGTGAGCGATAACGATCTTTTTCAATATTTTTTCATATACGATTAACCTCCCTCAATGGCGTCGCCCCCCCCTCCTGTGTTTTACACGACGATTATATGCTTTACTCTGAACATCAAATTGTAACCCGTTCATTTTTTCAAAGACAGCAAATTGTTCCTGATTGGTTACAAATAAAAGGCCAATTCAGTCTCGGGAAGCTCTCATAACGTAGGCATCAGGAAACGCGATCAAAGTAACAACTTTCTCCCACCTAGAATACCGGCTGCAGTGTGATAAATTGGCATCGACACCATAAATTCTATCTGATGGCTGTATACCGAACGATTTGGCTGTTCCAACCACCATCGAGTAGTACCTGTATAGCATATTAATATTGCACACATTTTATTTCGAAAAATATGTAATCCAGGTAACACAGACATCTTCGTTAGAAAAAGATAGGGGGCGCAGTTTGGCTACGGGGGGGGGCATTTTGCACTTTCGCTGCTTCACTAGTTCCGGTTTACAAGTCTCACTCTGGTGAAACCTGTGAACTCTTGTGAAGCTGGAGCAAGCTCGTCAACCATCATGGTAAAACCTGTCAACTGAAGAAAGACTGTCTAGATAGGTGACACGTTGATGGGAAGTAGCAAAAGTGCAAACTGCCCCCCGTAGTCGAACTGCACCAATTAGAAGGATATCAGTGCTTCCCGGTAGAGAATGTAAGGATGGTGCGGCTAGCGCGCTAACTCGGGTTTCAAACTGGTTCTAGTTTCTCCAGGTCTGTCAAGCCTTTCAGCCGTCAGGAGGGGGAGTCTGGGAGGAACTACACCACCTTTCGTACTGTCTAATTGAGAAGATACAGTATGGAAGGAATAGCGGCTGCGGACAGCATTTCCTTCTCTCCTCAGTTGGATTTTCTAGACCTCCAAGTGTTCACTGATATGGATGAGGCCATCTCGAAGCTTATTCGATGGGAGTGGGCGGACCCTCGTTCGAAGCCAGAGCTCGAAAGTTTCGGGCAGTTCAACGACGGAGGGGGGGGGGCACTTTGCACTACTGCTGCTTCTCATCGACGTGTCGATCCATTTGGAGAGCCATTTCATGAGCTCACAAGAGTGACAGGTTCTACCATGATGACTAGACGAACTTGCTCCAGATTTACCAGAGTTCACAGGTTTCACCAGAGTGAGACTTGTAAACCGGAACTAGTGAAGCAGCGAAAGTGCAAAATGCCCCCCCCGTCGCCGAACTACGCTGAGCAGTTCTTTATGCTTCTTGTGACCAAGTGGTTCTCAGCGAAGCTTGTACACTTGTGCCATTTCCAGCTCCACAGAGTTCTCAGGTTTGTCAACAGGAAGTTGCAAGAAGAACTGAGAGTGCAGAACGTTCTTGAGCAGGACAGCGACCATCCCTTCCTCTAGACATTACTAGGTCACGTTAGGATTGCATGTGATGGTCAACGGATAATCTTGACGAAATGTGCGCGACGAGGGAGATAGTGAGATCTCTCAGTTGGAAGTGAACAAGCACTTTACCGGTAGTGTCTAATGACAGCAGCTTTTGGCAGGCCAGTCGTACCACTTGTGTAAATATAGCACAGAACACCTGTAAAACAGAATTTTGAAGAATGCAACTGCGCCTCAAATTTTCCGAAAAAATTCTTGACTTTTTCCTCATGGTAATACTACCATTGTCACCAAAATCACAGCAAAGGTAGGACACCTCCCACCAATCGTTTATTCTCGTCAGTTATCGTGCCTGTAGCGAAAGCACCCCTTCAAAGTTCTCTTCTCGCCGGATCCTCTTTGTGACTCCTACGTTTGGATTCCACTAATTTGCTTCAAGAGTCCACGTTCGGTTTATAGCTTCACCATCTGTAGAGAAGCTTGCCATTCACCCACCGTGCCAGGGGACGTTCACTCTTCGCCAAAGTGAGTGCCCACAACATGTGCGTTCATCCTTGGGGAGGTTCGGCAACGTGGAAGGGAGCGGGGGAGGGGCATTCTATGCTATTCCTACTTCCCATCCACGTGTCGACCAATCTAGAGAGCCTTTTCTTGAGTTAACAGGTTTTACCATGGTGGCTCGATGAGCTTGCTCCAGCTTCACAAAACTTCACAGGTTTTATCCAAAGTGAGACCTGTAAACCTGAATTAATGAACCAGTGAAAAGGCTCAAATCCCCCTCCCCCTGCGTCGACGAAACTGGGCTGGTCCCTAAACAAGCTGGAGTCATGCAATGGGTTCACTGTGCATGAGGAATACGATGAGATCATATCAGTCATCTTCGCGATATTCTTCTTTTCACATGATATTCTGCTATCTAGGGAAATTTCGACTATCAAGCGGAAGAAGCAACTCCCACCGCCTCAAGAACCAACGGCCTCTACCCAACAGAGAAACCATCGATCATTCCTTATTCGGTACAAGTTTTATGATCGCTGCGACCTCACACGTTCCAACTTTGCTCTAATGATTCAAGAAGTGTTCCACCATTTCGGAGTCTCTTACCCCAGAAAAAACCCATTCCCAGTTCGCCGCATGTTTTTGCACCATTGGACGCCTTGCCAACCACTGTCCTCTATCTATTGCCGTCCGGAGTTAAACAGCTCACGGAAATTCATGTAGTCACGTGACCCCCTCCCTACTTCAAAAATGTCTTTGTTTATCTATCAAAACTAGTTTTCGCTGACTATGATACGAAGAAGTTGTTACCACTACTATAAAGTTACTTTTACTGACCTTGGCATATGATCGGACACGAGCGAGAGTGAGAAAAA